CTACATACTTGTGAACTAAAAGCTGGATTTCTCTCAGTCGAAATAAAAGAAGCGATTGAAAACGACTTTTTAAAAAAGCTTAGGAGGCCCTTGAAGAATTTCATTTAAAATCTCAAACTAACCTTCATGTTTAATTCAACATCGAGAAAAAAAAAAAAGAAGTAGTACAACCTGGTGTTGGCCCAGTGGGTAGAGCAGTGCTCTGAGGAGGTTGCAAGAGTAAAGTCTGGATTTCTATGAGAAATGTTATTTTATCTTGCATGGCAGTGACATAGCATCCTGCATCCGTTTTCTTTTCCATTTTAAACGTCTTTGACATTCTTACTTCCCCTTGGAGAAGAGTCATCCTGAAAGTGGCTCAGTTCATTTAACGGTTCAGTTACAAAGTGATAAATTAACTTTTTAGTCACAGACACCTCCTCAGATGCGTCTTATGACCGACCACTGCAGTTAATGCAATACACTCATGACAGTAAATCAGCTGTTTACCAAAAAGTGACAGTTTTATTGTAAACGTGTACCTTTTGTTGGAATATTTCTTTCATCGCTGTTGGGATGAAATAACGGCAGCAAATGGACCTCAGCCTGAAATACAAAACTAAAGGAAAAAAGAAGACATCAATATGTCTGAATAATATTTAGCATAAATATTTAGCATAGGGGAGTGGGGACAATGCGCTTGACTTGGACAACATTTATTGTCATTTTGCATACACAGAGTGTATACAATACAAAATTTAGTCAAAAAGTGCAGCAGTGATCAAATGTAAACATTGTGGGAGAAAAAACATGGTGAAAAAAACGCATCGATATGGTCAGTTTGATGCAGTGTTTGTTACATATTGAGTTTTTTCAACATTCAGCTTTCGAATGGCAGTGGAGAAGAGGCTGATGCAGAATTTGCTGGACCTGCATTGAATGCTGGGAAGCCTCTTCCCAGAAGGCAGCAGGGAGAACAGTCCATGGTGGGGGGGTGAGGGATCATTGATGATGTTACGGGCTCAGGGCACGCAGCGCTGGGATGAAATGTCTTTATGTCTTTAATGGAGGGAAGAGGAGTTCTACTGGATTCACTTTGTATTAGATTTTTTTCCTGCTTCACAAAGGTAGGCAGCAGCTCGACAAAGCCATGATGG